CACAGAGCCCACGCAGACCCGAGTCTACACACACAGAGCACACGCAGACCCGAGTCTACACACACAGACCCGAGTCTACACACACAGAGCACACGCAGACCCGAGTCTACACACACAGAGCACACGCAGACCCAAGCCTACACACACAGAGCACATGCAGACCTGAGTCTACACACACAGAGCCCATGCAGAGCACTACATACACAGAGCCCGTGCAGAGTATTACACACACAGATCTACACACACAGAGCCCATGCAGAGCACTACACATGCACAGATCTACACACACAGAACCCACGCAGAGTATTACACACACAGATCTACACACACAGAGCCCATGCAGAGCACTACACACACACAGATCTACACACACAGAACCCACGCAGAGTATTTCACACACAGATCTACACACACAGAACCCACGCAGAGTATTTCACACACAGATCTACACACACAGAGCCCATGCAGAGCACTACACACACACAGATCTACACACACAGAACCCACGCAGAGTATTTCACACACAGATCTACACACACAGAACCCACGCAGAGTATTTCACACACAGATCTACACACACAGAGCCCGTGCAGAGCACTACACACACACAGAGCCCGTGCCGAGCGCTCGTCACTGGTCGCAGCCTTTGCTTTGCTCCTTTGACCAGAAGCTAAACCACCTCCCCTGCTTTTCTAACTCCTCCTCCTAACTGGTGAGCAGGATGTTCCCCCTGGGTAGAGGGAGGACAGGAACTCTGTCATCTCTCCACATCCCCATGCGTGGTTTGCATTGGTATCGATACCTGTCAAAACCTTAGGACAGGTGGGCATTGTCACACCGGGCTTCTTGCTGCCACATGTGTTTTCTCTACTTCACGTTAAGTTCCGTAGAGAGGCTCCTAATGAAAAGGGAAACAATGAAGATGCAATGGAAACCCTGATAGACTATGGATCCCACATAACCCCACTGAGCCATCCGGGAGGACACACTGCGCCGACCTTATGTTGTTAAGCCTGCACGGCTGCCAGTTCTGTCCACGGTGGCCCCTGCTCCCTTCTGGTTGCTCTTGAAAATCCATCACATCTGGACCAGTTGCTCCTGGGCCGCTGTGCTCAGCCCTGAAGCAGCGAAGGCTGCTTTGTATTCCACACGCTTCCTAGCAAACGCCGCCTGGAGTCTGTTTGCTTACCTCAGTTCTACCTTCTCAGCTGTTATTTTTGTGAAAATGTCAGCTCTGATGAACAGAAATGGGTAATGACACAGGTTGCCGCCCCTTTCTTCACACACGGGATGGAGAACCCGGCTGCATTGCTCTGACTGAAGGCCCCAGGTTTTGTTACCATGGCTCTCAGCACTCCAGAACTGCACTGGGGTATTGATCCTACTAATGCCATCCATACCGTGTTCTTATGTGTGGGCCAACAATGTAGTCAAATATTTTTTTAACCAGGTATTTTGTCCTGTCCTCCATCCACTACTTTGATTCGATTGTAGATTTGGGTAAGTTGGTAAGGGTGAGGAGCCTGAGACCCCTCCTCTGTTACAGTGCTCTTAAGAGTTTTTTTTTCCCTTGAAGGTAGTTGTGGAATAAATAAGTACAGGTGTCTGATTAAGGACTGAGGCATTATCTACTTTCAACTATTAGTACAAGAACTACAAATATAATGAAGCAAAGTAAGGAACTGATGTTGTGGTAACTGTTGATCAAGCCATCCCAATTGTCCATAAAAAGAGTGAGCTTTATTTAAAACTGAGTGTGAAGTATCGATCATGTTACTAATTTACAAATTATTTCATCAGTTTCGTACTCACCTACTTTTAAAATGATCAGAATATTCCGTTTTACCTCTGTCACAATAAATCGTACGACCTTGGTAATCTATAAAGTCTTGAAGAAATAGAAAACAATCAGATTGTTTTCTTTGGGGGGTGTCAGCTGTGGAAGGGAATTCATAATGAATATGACCGGCCGCCAGCGGAATGTGGCGCGGCTGCAGCCCGCTCCTGGAGTCTTGTTTGGCGTCAGACCCACGTGGCTTCATCCTGCCGATCACCGGCTCTGTGCTGTGACTGACAGGGGAGGGGAGAATTCAAGAACAACCCCGAACTCGAAATGCAATGGTTTATTTAGGGTCGTTCACCATTTGGGCTCATCGAGGGAATGAGCACCCAGCTTTCTGTGTGGTGGTGTTGGGGTGAGGCTGGCTTTGGGGGTGAGTTTGGAGGTGCCTTCCCTCCTGTCTCATGGACAGGTGAGCTGTTCTCTAGGTCTGACTGAGGCAGAGGCCCTGTCTCCCTGGCTCTCCCTGGGGGAAAGTCTGGATGTCTCTGCCTTGCTTCCGCGCTTAGGCCTCCTTCATTCAGCTTTCCTAAGTCACATGTGTCAGGGGACTTACCCACCTCGTCTAAATCTCCCAGTTTACTAGAACTAGAACGTTTAAAACATATCCCCCAGTGATATTTGAGTGAGGAAGCATCTGTTATAGTGTCATCTTTTGCCCTGAATCTTATGTATTCAGTCACCTCTGTCTTCTTTTGGTTAGTGTGGCTAAGAGCTGGTCAACTTTGTGCATTTCAAATAATGAACTTGGTATTTCATGGACATTTTTATTGTTCTTTGGTATCTGATTTATTTCTTCCCCATGCTTATCATTTCTTTTCATCTGCTTGTTTGGGGTGTGGTTATTCGTGGATGAGAAGATCATTCATAGCCACACCTCTTTGACTGTAATCCTAGCTCCTTAGGAAGCTGAGATATGGAGGATTGTGGTTTTAGACCAATCCAGGTAGAAAAGTTTGCTGCACTCCCTTTCCTAAATAACCAACAAAAAAGCAGAGCTGGAGGTATAGCATAGTACAGTGCCAGGGCCTGAGTTAAAACCTCAGTACTATTAAAAAGTTATTAACCATACTTATCATGATCAAGTTGGCTTTAGTGCTAGGATGTTCAACATATACAAATCAATAAATACAATTTATCACATCAATTTTATCAAGAATAAATCATATTATCAAGTAATGCAGAATGTAACTATAAAATTAAGCATCTCTCCCTGATAAGACCTGGAGGAAAATGCGTGGAGAAGAATCAAATCTTGACATGACGAAGGTTACACATGAGAAACCATAGCTAACAGCACAGTGAACAGAAAAATCATGAAACCCTTTCTCTAAAATCAGAAACAGACAATGGTATCAATTCCTACCACTCTTATGCAATAAAGCTCTGGGAATTTTAGCCAGAGAAATTAAGAAAAACAAAGGAATAAAAAGGATACAAAGAGGAAATCAGTAAAATTATAGTTGCCAATATGGTCAAAAAAGACCCTAAACATGGTCCCCAAAATCTCTTAGAAATGTAAGTTCTGTAAAGAAGACATTGGCCATGAATACACACAAATCAGTCACATTTTTGTACCAATAACTTACAAAGAAGTAACCAAGAAAATAACCCCATCTATAACATGTCCCCATATGTACTACACTTAAAAATAAACCTAACCAAGAAGGTGAAACATCTCTTCAGAGAGAACTCAACAGCACCACAAAAGAAAACTGAAGCCAGAAAGTGCTTGCATGTTCTCATACCTGGAGAACACCACCAAAAGCTATCTGTAGACTAAATTCAGTCTCCACCGAAATACCAAAATATGATTCAGAGAAGTAAAATCAATTCACATGGGCAAGGGACATACAAAGCAACAAAGAAATCATCTTATAAATATGTTAGAAACAATCACAAGGAAGAAGAAACATTTGAATCTTTATCTTGACGTTCATTTTACCTCACATCATATTATCTGACCTTTTCTGCTTGTCTCAGACATATACTAGTTATTGCAAATAAGGGAAACCATGGGGCCTATGTTTCTTTGGGCCTGGCTTACTTCACTTAATATAACAATGAGATGTACAAGATGTTATGTCAAAAAACGAACTTTACAGCTTTGGTACGGGGGGGGGGCATAGAGGGGGATGGGAAGGGATAGGAAGGGGAAACAAAGGAGGAGGTAACAATGCTTGATAAGAAATGTACTCATTACCTTGCCCATGTAATTGTAACCCCTCTGTATGGTATTTTCACAATAAAAAAATCACAGCAAAAAATATCAATTCACATGGAAACATAAAAGTTACCCAATTATCAAAGCAAGCATGAGCCCCAGAGCACTACTGGTGTGTCACGATTCTGGCCCAGCACTGCAAGCAGACAAGTTCTGGATATACTTGCTGTTCAGTTGTTCCATGGCTTGTTCAACTGCTGACAGTCCTTCTAGTGTATTTCCAGGAGTGGCTTCCACTGAGAACACTAGACTGTATGGTCATCCTCCTTCAAGCTAGGGAAAGGACCTTGGAGCCGATTGTGCATGGCAAGAGATGAAGTTTGGTTCAGTATAATTTTATCCAAGTACCTGGTGCCAGCAACTGGTAGAGCTAATTTCTGAATTCTGAAGTAAGGCAGAGCTGCAGCTCCCATAGAGGTTAACGTATTTCTCTCAAGGTCAGTTGAAGGTTATAATTCTGCTACCCCTCTAAGGCCAGTGACCCTGCAGTGATGTACTTAAAGAGACTTAAAGGCTAACCCTGT